AGAGTGTGACTGTGGGGAGGAAGAGGTAAGGTGTCATGGCAGCACAGGCAGGAGAGAGAGAATTTGCGTTTGTTTCAAATCTCAAGGTCAAAGAGAAAGCAATTGGAAATTTTTTAATTCTTGCATATTTCCTATGACATCATCACAAATAAGACGTGGAGGGCCAGCTTTCACTGTGGACCACCTCTGCAGACTCCCTGTTGAGCGTGGCACTGCTGATGTCCAAGTTCGGGTGGAGTTCTTCCTAAGAGTGTCTGATCTAACCACAAACCACAGTCCACACCAGTGCAGCCACAGGTGCCCTTCTTGGCCTTCCAGCTGCACCAAATTTATTCTGGGGGGCATGCAGCTGGACATCTGAACTTGACCCTGGGCCTTTGGAGGATGCTGAAAGTAATAAACTGGCCTGCATAGCCTGGAGATGAGATGGTGGAAAGGGGAAGTGGTCATGTCTGAAAGGGCTGCCAGGAGGAAGAAGGAGCAAGCTGTTTTGATCTTCAAAATGAGTGGCAGGCATACAGCATAGCTGTGTCACTTTAGCGGATGCATATGGACCTGTAAAATGCAGAACTGTGTAGTTTCATCTCTATTTTTTGAAATATGGAAATATATACATTAACAAATGAAAACAATTTGGGGGGAAATATGAGAAACAGCTATGGTGGGTGAGATTTCAAGTCTGTGTATGTGGGAAAAGTATTTGATTTTATAACCTCTATAGCTTGATATCCACCCCCCCCCCCCACTGTCAGCATGTAAATATTATAATAAACTAGTGACCCAGTGCATGAATTTGTGCACAGTTGGGATCCAGCCCACCCAATTAGGCTGGCCAGGGGTAGGGGACACAGGAGGTTGGCTGTCTGGCCCTGCTCCCTGGTTGACTCCCCATTGAACTCCTGGTTGAGGGGGAAATTTGCAAATTAGCCTTTTATTATATAGGATAGGACAAGACCTAGTTAAGGCTCTGCCATGAGTTCAGCGCAGTCAGCTCAGATGCTTCAGAAAGGAGATGGGGTTGAGGAACACCCCCTAGGGGCTCAGCCTGTTGGCTTATATTTGGAGCAGCTGCTGATTCTACAGCTTTTTACTAAGTGGAGTGTTCTATGCTGGTGCGAGGGCTAGGATAAATACAGCAAAAATAGATGTGGTCCCTGTCCATATGGAGCATATAATACAGCGGGGGAAACATTTGACCAAATAGCTGCAAAGGCCTCTAAATACAATCTATGCTAAATGCACAGAGGGCCAATGACAAGATGCCATGAGTATTTGTAGGATGAGGGGAGCTGCCCTCCTGAGTGTGGGTGTGACCTCTGACCCATACCTGAAGGCTATGAGGAGTTAGTGAGGAGTACCAGGCAAGAAGACACACTGTGCCTAGTGTTGGGAAGAGATATGACATGGTAGAAGGGAGGGAATGGGTCTGCTCGGAGCCCAGGGTGGTGAGGGATGGATGGAAGAGAAGTGTTCTAATTCCCTCTCTTAGGGAGGATGGGTGGGCATCTATAGTCAGGCAGTGATGTCTCCAAAATGCTTGACCTGGACAAATATGGTTATTTTATGGTTAATAAGCATGCAGTGGGCCCCTGATAGACATGGCTTGAATTTTGCTCCAACAAGTGCCAGGTGTGTGTGCCTCGACTTGTTTTGGCCCCAGTTTCCCCATCTGTGAAATGGAAATGGTCTTGCCTCACAGGCTGTGTTGGTCCTATGCACGGAGACCCGCACATTGTCAAGAAATGTTTGTGGCCAGGCCTGTGACTGTAGTTGGAGTGTTATAAGGACACTCACAGCCACTGGCTATCTTGTCATCCTTTAAAATCTCTTGCTGTCAGCAAATGGGGAGAAGTAGTGCAGGAAGGAAGTGAGGAGAGCGTGGAAGCCCTAGAGACCTGTCCCGGAAAGGCCCGATCTGGCGAGGCCTGAGGAAGAGCAGCAGATGGTGAGAGAAGTCTGAGGAAGCAGGCCAGGAGCTGACGTAAACTGTGTGCAAGGTTGCTGCAGGATGCCCTGGCTCCTGAAGGCCTCTTTTTGTGGGATAGGTAGGCCCAGGGGTGGGGAGATGAGAGGGAGAGGAAGGGAGGGCAGTGTAGAAAAAGCACAGAAGACAGAGTCTAGGGGAATTTTATTGGGGATGAGAAAAAAAAATCACAGAATTTTTGGGGATGAGAGAAAAAAAAATCCATATAGTGGGATACTATTCTGAAAATCAGGTTTTGGAAGGATACATGATTATAAGGAGGTGTGTGCATATTACATTGTGTGAAAAAGCAGTATGGATACTTTGATTTTATAAACTTAGTGTATGTGTATAGGAAAATGCCTGGAAAAATATCCACACTCAAACTGTAGTTGTATCTAAGCTGATGATTGTGTGTGTGGGTAATATAAATATAAACAATGTATATTCCCCCACCCCTAGGATAAATATACATTACCTTAGCAATTAAGCTGTAAAGTGTTTTTTTTTATAAAGGCTTCCTATGGAGCCAGGCTCCGGGCATGGTGGCAGGGGTGGGGAGATGGGAGAGGCAGATGAAGGCCCTGACCCCACCCCGAGGCTGTCTCCCTGTCCCGCTGCCCCTGAGGCTCACCCCACTCCCTCTGCCTCCCCCCAGGAATGTGACAATCCCTGCTGCAATGCCTCCAATTGTACCCTGAAGGAAGGGGCGGAGTGTGCCCACGGCTCCTGCTGTCACCGCTGTAAGGTGAGTGGCCCTTTCCCTGACCTAACAGAACCGCTGTGGGGTGAGGGACAGGACACAGCCTCCTTCTGGGGGGAAAGAGGGTCTCAAAGTTTCAGTAACATGGAGCCTGGATGCCCTTGGACACATAATGAGCACATGTGAGTATACATGTAGGTGTTCGGGGGAAATGTGCATGTATATAATTTGGATGTATATGTGTGAATGGATCTGTATATTTGCATATGTGAGTTGTGTGTGTGTGTGTGTGTGTGTGTGTCCGTGTATATTAGTGGGCCTGGTTCCTTTGCCATTTATTCACCATGAGTCTTTGGACACATTGCTTAACCTCTTCGGCCTCAGGTTTCATCATCTGTAAAATAGGGATAAAATTATATTACATAAAACTGTCATGAAAATTAAATGAAGTCATAGTTGTACTGGACACCTAAGCGGGAGCGCCATAAAAGTAGCCGTTATTACTGAAGTGCTTAGTCAACTGTAAGCTGTTGCATACATATGACCCCTGCCCGACCTCCTCTGGAGAGGAAGTGAGTTACGTTTGTGAAAACACCTGGAAAACTCTAAGTCACTGCTCGCATTACAGTCTGAACCACTGAGGGCCTGTGAAATAACGGGAGCGGGAATTCTGTCCCAGAGCGATGCTCACGGCCCTCTCTGGGAGGCTGGAGGGAGACTGATGTTTTCCCCCCCTTTCCCTCACCCAGCTGGTGGCCCCTGGCACGCTGTGCCGCCCACAGGCCCGGCAGTGTGACCTGCCAGAGTTCTGCACGGGCAAGTCTCCCCACTGCCCCACCAACTTCTACCAGATGGACGGCACCTCCTGCGAGGGCGGCCAGGCCTACTGCTACAACGGCATGTGCCTCACCTACCAGGCCCAGTGTGAGCAGCTGTGGGGACCCGGTAAGTGAGCCGGGGTGAGCCCTCATCCCACCCACCTCTGTTGAGCGTGGCATCTTGGCTTCAACGCAGCATCTCTGGATGCTTGCCCTTGGGTCAGGATCGACTTTTAGGGAGAGGCAGTGGACTGTGTTCTTCCCAGTCCCTCGATGCTGTCAGTGCTCAGAGCAAGTAAATTGATAAGAATCATCCAAAAGACAAATGGGCAGAGGATGGAGACAGAACAGGAAGATGCTTACCTGCACTCATATGAAGTGAAGGCAAATGATAACTACTATAAGATAGGATTGTTCATGCATCAGATTGGCAGCAACTGAAGAGTTAATGTGATGTAGTAGTAATAATAATGGTACTCTCACGACCACAAGAGCAATGAAAATATAGTGATGTGGTGAGTGAGGGGACCACAGATCGTTACAGCCCCTACGGAGAGCAATTTGGAGATGTGGACATTTTAATGCACCAGTCATTGGGCCCATCCATTCTACTACTTAGGCATGTATCTTCTACTGTACTTGAACATGTATGTGAAGGTGCAGTTTACAGGGATACTTGTTGCAGCATTCTTATTTGTAGCAATAACAGCCTATGCATCCTTCATAGAGGCCAATTAAATTAATTCTGGTACATCCATCCTGTGGAACACGATGCAGCTGAATAAAGGGAGCAGCTCAGTGTCTACTGGCTAAAATCTTCTCCCACAGTGAATTGAGAGAACAGTGCAAGATGCAGAATAGTGAATACAACAGGCTGTATTAATTATCTCCAGAAGATACACAAGAGTTGTATCTAGAAGACACATAGTTCTCTGCAGAAGATGCATCATTAATTGTGATTCCTTACCCAGGGTGTAGGGAAGTAAGTATTGGAATGGCTAGTCCCAAGAAAATTCCAAAGACATGCTTTATCTCTTTAAACATTTGCACGTTTAAAAATGCCTAAAAGGACAAGGTTTCTTTACTAGAGAAAAGAGGGCTTAACATACAAACCCACAGCTGATACAAAACCCCAGTAAAGTACAAAGAGCTGATATGAAAGCTTTTGCTATGAGAAGAATGGAGTTAGCTGGTGGGGGTACAGGAAGGAAACATTATCTCCCCAAAAGCTTTCTTCACCTGACTCTTTACCAAGGACTGGCTTTGCCCATTGCCGGTTTCTGACGTCTCCTCATGTTGCCTAGGGTACTGACAAATGTTCCTTGCCCACTCAGGAGCCCGGCTTGCTCACGACCTCTGCTTCGAGAGAGTGAATGTGGCGGGGGACACCTATGGGAACTGTGGGAAGGACATGAATGGGAAACACAAGAAGTGCAGCATCAGGTAATGACCGCTGGGTGGACCCCGTGGGATGAGGGGGTAACAAAGCAGTTCCTTCTATGTCCTCCTCACTCCTCCCTCCCACTGGCTCAGCATTTTGGCAGCCCCAGAGTTGGGCCTGAAATAAGTCATTCAGTCGGTTGTTGGACAATGCCCCATTCAGCCTGAGGAAGTCCAAGGGAGGGTGCGGATGGCAGTGCTTCCTAGAAAACCCATCAGACTTCCTTTTAGGACTTTCTTACAAGAGGGCAGGGAATAAGCCTTCTTGGGTCATTTCTGTAGGGTGCTAATCATCCCTCATCTGATTAACCCATCATTCACTCGCTCAGTCACTCATTAAATCATTTATTCATTCATTTCAACCACCCATCCACCTGCTCACCTATCCACTCTCTGTGGAGGGTGGACCATGTGCCAGATACTCTCCTGAGTACATGGAACTTTTAATGAACAATGTAGCGTGATAATGGACATGATCTTAGTGGGTTCATGTGATTTCCCAAAGGAAGTTTATACCTAAGTGGAGATCTGGACAAATTATCTTGTAGAATAGAGTGAGGAATGGTGCTGGTCCCTGGGAGGAGTGTCCCAGGCAGGGATGATAAGAGAAAAATCGGCGGTCAGTAGAACTGATTTGATATAAAGTATAATGTTGTGATCAGTAGAACAATTTGATATAAAGTATAAGTTGGGGTGCAATGGAGAAGGGGCTGCTGAGAAATGAGACTGGGTAGTGAGGCAGGGACCAGATCATGAATTCCTTGAAGACATGGCTGACAGAGCGTGGACTTCGGCTTGAGAGCAATTTAGAAATTAGATTCCAATTCGGCAGGACTGGAGGCAGAAAGATTAGTTTCCTGGGGTCCAGATGAGAGAGGACGATGATGTGGTTGCAGCATCTGGGTACATGGAGTGCAGGGACCATAGGAGCAGGTTGCTCAGTTCCGGCTGTTGTCCTGGCAGGAAAGTGGACACCCTAAGGCCAGTGCTCTGGCCTGGATCTGCTTGGGGACAAGGATCCTATTTCTTTCTCTTTGTCTAAGTCCACGTGGGGTCTCTCCTGGTGGGTCCCGAGAGCGTGCCTGTTGCTCCTTTGCCCTTTCCCCAGGCTTGCAAGCCTGCTGTCCTGGTCAAGAAAAACTAAGCTCCTCTGTGTCCAGCTCTTCCCCAGCCTCTGATTCCACCTCCTTCTCTCTTGGGCCCAGAGATGCCAAGTGTGGGAAGATCCAGTGTCAGGCTTCTCAGTCCCGGCCCCTGGAGTACAACGCCGTGGCCATCGACACCACCATCACCATAAACGGGAGGGAAGTCCAGTGCAGGGGCATCCACGTCTACCAAAGTACCGAGGAGGAAAATGACATGCTGGACCCAGGCCTGGTGCTGACGGGGACCAAGTGTGGCTACAACCATGTGAGTCTTTGGGCTGCAGAGGACAGTGACTGAGGAGCATGAACTCAGGAGGGAGGCTGCCTGAGCTCAAATCCCAGCCAGCCTAATATGACTGCGCTTCCACAGGCTGGCTTCTGTCAGCATCACTGTAGTCCTCATCATTAATATCATATGAGTTAAGACTAGGAGTCAGGAAAGCCTGGGGGAAATAGTGGCACCATCTCAGCGTGCAATTATTTTTTTAAAACACAGGATGCGTTTTGTATAGCACCTGGCACAAAGTAGACTGCTGTCACCATCATCATTATTTTAAAATTTAATATTAAAATTAGTGCCTATTAGCATACAATTAAGAAACTAACATATACCAGCGTATAATAATGCAAGCTGTAATAACACATATTTATTATATTATTAGATACTTATGTTATTGTTTTAACAGTATAATATTTGTTGTTTTCTCGCTAATCACAGAAGTAAAAGTTACTTAACTGCTATCCATCCCTTTGCTTTTTTTTTTTGATTTTCGAATTTTCACTGTAATGCATAACCTGATGCCGGCTGCCTTTTTGAGTCCCATAGGTCCTAGGTGCAAAGCCCCAGTCTTCTGATTGTCGAGCAGTGTCCCTTTGCTTGTTCTGACGGTTCGGTCTCCTCCTCACTGCAGATTTGCTTCGAGGGGGAGTGCAGGAACACCTCCTTCTTTGAAACCGAAGGCTGCGGGAAGAAGTGCAATGGCCACGGGGTACGTGTGCCCAGGGTTCTGGGGCTCCTCCGCTAGTGTCCCTGCTGCAGGCCCTGTGGGAGGCGGGAACTCTCCAGGGTGCTGACGCCTCTACCCGGCTCTCGCTCCAGGTCTGCAACAACAACCAGAACTGCCACTGCAGCCCGGGCTGGGCCCCACCCTACTGCAACACGCCTGGCTTTGGGGGCAGCATTGACAGCGGGCCCATGCCCCCTGAGGGTGAGTGCCTGGCCTTCCCCCCTTTAGGAGGGGATGTTGGCACCAGGGGGACAGGTGGCATGTTCCAAAGGGATAATGCATCAGCCATATTATCCTGGTTTTGTAGAGGAGGGAACAAGAAAAAGAGGGGCTGAGGGGGAGGGACAACTGAGGCTGGCAGCCTGGTGTGGGGCTCAGCTCAGTTGCTCTTCTTCTGTCTTTTCTATTGAGGAGAGTGAACCCTCTTGGAGAGAGAGGGAGATTAAGACAGACCATAGGTTACTGAATGATCTTATCCTTTTGAAGGTGGGTGTCAACCAGTCCTCCTCAGCCACTTAAAAATAATCAGGAACCTTAGGCACATTCTAGTGCTTTAGATTCCCTTGTATGAACAAAACTTAAAATGGAGAACCAGACACTCAGAAAAATGTACAGTGTTTTCCTGGAAACCTCAAAGATTCCAGCCCTTTGGTTTCCAAGCTTTTTATAACAAATTTGTATGTATGCCGAAACCGGTTTGGCTCAGTGGATAGAGCGTCGTCGATCTGTGGACTGAAGGGTCCCAGGTTCGATTCCGGTCAAGGGCATGTACCTTGGTTGCAGGCACATCCCCAGTAGGGGGTGTGCAGGAGGCAGCTGATCGATGATTCTCTCTCATCGATGTTTCTAGCTTTCTATCCCTCTCCCTTCCTCTCTGAAAAAAAATCAATAAAACATATATTTTTAAAATAAGATAAAATAAATTTGTATAAATTTAAATTAAGTAATACATTCACTGCAAATCAAATATCTGCAAATCAAATATCTGAGGAAGAATCAGGATATGTTGCTTGGAAGCCACTGCGGTGGCCCAGGCAGCGTCTGCATCTCTCACCGGGCTCTGTTCTGCCAGGCATAGGTCCCGTGCTGGCTGGTGTGTTCTCGGCCCTCTTCGTGCTGGCGGTGCTCGGGCTGATGTACTACTGCTGCAAGCAGGACAGCAGGCTGGGCCAGCTCAAGGCCTTTGCCCTTCCCTCCAAGTTGAGGCAACAGTTCAGGTATGATGGGGTGCCACGAAGGCCTTGGGGTTCCTGTGGGTCATAGCGCTTTCTGTGGTGGTGGGTCTAATTCAGGGAAAGTCAATGCAAGGTGCGTGCCACCCTGTCCCCTTGGCCATGCTCCAAGACCAGATCAGTCAGTGCTCGTCTACTTTACTCTATGTAATCACTCAGAATCCTTCTTAGCAGAATGCCCCCTACCAGTTAAATTTGAAGAGCTCTATTTTCCACCCGTCACCTAATTGATTTGCTCCCCATTTTAAAGAGCAGGAAACTGAGGCAACAGAGAAAGAATGACTAGCCCAGGACACTTACAGGGGCAGCTGGGTATCAACTCAAGACAAACACTAATTTTTTTTAAGCAGTTCATCCCTTGGGATATTGACGATGTCTAGTCTCTGTGTCCCGTATTATATGACACTTGTCCTGCAGGGGATTTTAAAGCCCTGGTCCCTCTGAATCGATGCCCTAAGAGGGATTAGTTGATGGTTGATGGCATCCTTGAGTCTTTTGGGGGGAGAAAGGTCTTAAATGGGTGAAGAGAAGGTGCTGAGGAAAACTGTGGTTTGAATAAGGCCAACTCTTATTCCCTGGAGATTCTCCGTTGGCCACATGTCTTCATACCCAGGGAGCAGGGGTTCAGGGGGACCAATCCCACTTCCTCCAGAGCAGACTTGGGGAGGATTTAGCTGTTTACTGGCCATACTCAGGTGAGAGGGAACTCAGGTACTGACCCTCGATGATCACCCCCATTCCTCCTTCCCCCAATCCTTGTTGCTAGTTGTCCCTTCAGGGTGTCTCAGAACAGTGGAACTGGACATGCCAACCCAACATTCAAGTTGCAGACCCCCCAGGGCAAGCGAAAGGTAAGGTCTCTGCACCTTGAACTTTGCTACTTTTCCTTTATCATCAGGACCCTACTGGGTTTTCCCAATAGCCTGTGTGGTTTGTGAAATTGATAATAAAAACCCCATCTGACCTCTGGGATCCCAGGGATTTAAGAAGTCACTCAATTCTCCCTCTGCCTCTGGTCTCACATGGGCTCCCCTGAGTTTTTAAGTGCACTGAGAGTTCCTTTGTCTTAGACGTTCCTTATCTTGTGCATACAGGTGATCAACACCCCTGAACCCCCACGGAAGCCTCCTGTGCCCCCTCCGGACTATCTGCAGGGCAGCTCCCCACCTGTGCCATTGCCGGCACATCTCCTCAGGCCTCCTAGGAACCCCCCTGGAGCTGGGCCCCAAGTAGAGAGGAAAGAGTCAGCCCGGAGGCCTCCCCCAACCCGGCCAATGCCCCCCGCACCAAACTGTATCCTCTCCCAGGTAAGCAGGTGCTCAGCAAAAAGCCAGGGACATTGCTTTGAAGGCCACTGGCATGGAGGGTGACTGAGGCTGGGAAGGGGTAACTCGCTAAGTCTGACTGCCTTTTCTGCGTTCTGGTAACTACAGGGTAAGAGTGAAAAGTCTGGGGAAATATGCTCCCAGGCAGCCCCTCACCTACAGAGGATTTCTTCCCTGGATGGCCTATTTTGTGACAAGTCACTACCCACCATCTTGCACCCCAAAGTAACTTCTCCCAGTTCCGCACGGTCGCCTTCCCTCTTCTAGGACTTTGCAAAGGCTGTTTTCTCTGCTGAATGCCCAGCTCCTCTTCATCCTCAGGTCCCCCCTCAGGTGCCACCTCTCCCAGGAAGCCTCCTCTGACCCCGGGAGCCTGGATGTGGCAGCCCCAGACTTCCCTCATCTTCGTAATTACCCCACCAAATGGCACCGACGGGTGCCGTCCCCCGGTCAGGAAGCCTGAGGAGGGGTGTGCCGTGACGCCTGGCTCCCGGGGGGCCTGCAGGGGGTGAGTGGGCCTGGGCCGTACTCCCACGGGTGCCCTTCGGAAGCCGAGCTGCCCTGCCCGGCTGCCTGTTTACCCGGCGCCTGTGCTCTGCAGCCACAACTGTACCTCCTGGCAGAGGTCCCTGCAGGCAGACCCAGATGTTTCCAGGGCGGCGGCCGGCCTTTCCGAGCCAAACTGTATTTTGGGTGTGACCCCACCGCGGAGCGGGGGATTTGCTTGTTTTCCTCCCGGGACTGCTTTTCTTGGGCACGGTCCAGAGGGCGTCACGGGGGCCCAGCCTTTCTCTGAACCTGGGACCAGGGTTGGCACCAGGTCTCAGGGGGCCCCTGGGACACAGGCATTGTCACCTTTTTTGGCAGAGATCAGAGCGCCGGGTTTGGTTCTCTGATAAGCTGAAACTGGGGTGGGGGCGGGGCAGAGGGGAGAAGCTGTGTGGACAGGGAGGCAGGGGAAAGACTGGCAGAGAGGGGAGGGGAGGAGATGGGAGCGCGTTAGTCTGCTGGGGCAGCCGTAGCAAACATCACAGGCCAGTGACCTAAACAACAGGAATCTGTTTTCTCACTGTCTAGAGACTACAAGTCCATGATCAAGGTATAGTAGATTTGGTTTCATCTAAGGCCTCTCCTTGGCTTCTCCCACGTCCTTCCTTCGTGCTCGTGTTTCCCACGCGTCCCTGTGTCCGATGGCCTCTGCTGAGGCCATCAGGGGGATTGAACTAAGGCCTCGTTTTTAACTTAATCGCCCCTTTAAATGCACGCTCTCCATAGACAGCTCCGTTCTGAGGTACTGGGGGTTAGGGCTGCATCATACAGATGTGAAGGGGCACCGTTTAGCCCATAACAGAGGGGGTGCAGGAGAGAAGAGGAGCAAGAAGGGAAAAAGCAGGGCAAGCAGCAGGGTGTGGAGGGGAGTACAGAGGTGTGGGAGGAGAGTCGGAGGGAACAGTCTGATGAGACAGCTGTCCCTGTGACCCCCACACTGGAGGCTTGTTGAATAAAGATGGTGTCAGCCTCACGCCAAGGCACTGACCAGGAGGGGGCGGGAGTTAATTTTAAATAAGATGGTCTGGGATGGCCTTATGGAGAAGGTGATAAAACATGAAGGTAACATAAAAGCAGAGAGAAAAGAATTCCTGTTCACTCCCCCTCATAGCCAACCGGTCATTTTCCCACTTTATTTGCACAAATGATGCACATATACATGGTCTGCGGGAAAAATTACATGTTCTCCTGGGAGAACGCCCTCCGTGCTCACACCCCATCCCTAACCTCAGTTATCAGTGTGGCCCATGTCCTTCCTGACTTCCTTCCGTACAGTTGTGTTTACCCCGGGGACGGGGGAGAGGCAGTGGTGACAGATTTTACGTGAACTCGCTGCTGCAGCGTATAGGTCGGCTCACAGTGACTCTCGGTCATCTTCCCACGTTAGCGCATCTCAGCCTACTTCATTTACCTTTTAAAGGCTGCCTCCTCAGTCACTGTATGCATGCAGTCATTTGTCTACCGATGGAAATTATGGCCATCTACAGTTTTTTTTGGCCGTCACCAACAGTGCTGGAGGGACCCGTCCTGGTCATCTCACTTTTGGGCATCTGTGCAGGTGGTTCTCTAACCTGAGGCATACGGAGTGGGAGTGCTCGATAGGAGAATGGTTCTTTCTCGTGTTCCTGGGTGCTGCCAACGTGCTCTCCAAGGCTTTTTCCTGAGTGTTAACACACAGCCGCACACAGCTTTTTACATGGCAGCGTATAGGAGAGCATGTCTGCTCTCTCACCTCACTCTGCTCCGGCATAATGGGAAAACCTTTAGAACAGGCCCCTGGGCCGTGAGTGAGGCTGCGGCTTTCTCCCCAGGACATCTCCAGGCCGCGGCCGCCTCAGAAGGCGCTCCCGGCAAACCCCGTGCCAGGCCGCAAGAACGGTGTCTCCAGGCCCGGTGGGGCCGCCATCCTGCCACCCACCGCCGCGGGCCGCCCTCAGCAGTCCTGGCCTCTGTTAGCGCCTGCCTCAAAGGTGAGTTTGCAGAAGCCCTCAAGGTCAAGCTGAAGCCAGAGGATCAGGGGGCCAAGACGGTGATTGAGAAAACACACGGAGTTCACGCTTCCTGTTGGAGGGCTGAGCTTCTGAACCAAGGCCAAGGACAGAAGCATAGTGTTTCTCGGTGCCTGTGTGACTGTCCCTTAAGCAGGGGATAGGGGTCTTTTTGTTTCACGTGGAAAGTGATGCTTAGGAGCCTGAGCTCTGAAGGCTCCACACCTGGATCTGCACCCGACTGTCTGGGTGGCTCTGAGCCTGATTCCTTTCCTGGAAAGAGGCAACAAGAAGCAGCCCCCCCCCCCCCCCCGCCCGGTCCCCCCAGTTCTGCCATGAAGGCCAAGGCCGTTCACGGATGCAGACTGCCGGCCTCTGGTCGGATGTGCACAGTGACTCCTCCTCCCCCTTCCCCGGGCTGACCTGCTCTCGGGCTGACCTGCTCTTGGGCTGCCAGGCCTGGGAGTCGGAGCACAGGGGAGGGGAGGAAGCTGGCTGACTCCCCATGTTCCCAGGGGGCCCCGGGAAATCTGTGGACTGAGCTGCAGCTTCGCGGGGAGGAAGGGAGGTGGCTTGTCAGCTCGGGGTGGGGCACCCCCGTGAGGAGTTATGTCACGGGAAGCCATTCGTCTGTCACCCATCCAACCTGTCCACGCCCCAGGGGACACCACCAGTCGCAGTTAGCTGATGCCTGTCTCCCCCCCACTCCCTCTCTTTCCACAGTTCCCTGACTACACAGCGCAGAGGGCCGGGTGGATGACTAACTCAAGAATCTAGACCTGTCTAAGGGGCTGCTCTCTTTCCCGGTACTCTGAACATCACAGCCTGGAAGAAGCCGCCTCCGAGCCCCTCCTCCCAGACACCGCATCTCCGAAAATCTCCTTGACTCGTTGCCTCCCCAGCCTCCTCGGAGGCCCGGGGGCCCCATCCTCCAACGGCATCCAAGTGTTGTTTTGTGCAATATGCAGCCTGGTGAGGAGAGGGCACCCGGAGAGGATGAATGGCAGCTTCTCCTCCAACGTCCCTTCTGCTGGCCCCTCACCGCAGCGGTGCCCAGGCCCAGGCTGTCTGCGCTGAGGAGCCCGGCTGGGAAAAGTCCCCTCAGCCCTTCAAGTCAGGACTTTGCGTGGAGGAGCCGTCCATCCTCGGCCCGTCCCATGGTGGAAGGTATGCACGGGAGCCTCCCAGTGCTTGTCTCTCTGAAGGTCCCCGGCTGGACGGAGGCTGGGCACTTACCCATCCTTTGTAGCTCCGAGACTGAGGGTCACACCGGCCGCTGCTGTGTCCCTGCCCCGGGCTCGGTGGGCGTCACAGCTTCTGGCTCTGCATCCACACGGGGAACAAATCTAGTTCCCTCCTCTGCCCTTCCGCATCCCACATCCCCTTATTTCTCGGGTCTCTCCGACTCAGACAGGTACTAGTTGTAGGCAATGTCGACAGCAGGGGCAGCACCAGGCCTCCCCTGAGCCGTAATGCCAAAGGTTTCGACTCCCGACTCATGATCATTCTTGATTGCCATTGTCTTCTGCACTTGCTTCCCCCCCCTCGCCCCCCCCCCCGCTTGGACCCGCCCTGTGTGAGGTGCTGCGGGGAGTGCACCCACAGCCATCCTGATTTCCTGGGAACCTGGTGCTTGTGTCCTGCTCGAGGGTTCGCTCCATCGGTTCTCACGGGTGTTGACCAAAGTGGACTTGGGCCCTGGCTGTTGGGGCGTGGCTTCATTTTCCATTGTGTTTTGTGACCTCAGAAGGGTGAGTGTCTCCCCCTTACTCCCTGACCTGAACCTAAGCAAGGTCCCTAGGGGCAGGGACGGCAGCGGGGACAGTGACCTAGAAAGCAGACATACTAGGAACCCCAGCCTGTGCCCAGAGCAGCCCTCTCTCTAGAGGATCTGTACCCTAAGAAGCAGCAATCGGCGTTCTCGAAGGAAGAGTGTCTGAGTTGGCGCCAACCAGGCTGTTTAGGCTCTACTTCCTTGCGTTCTCTCTGGTCACTGCCTTACCTGCCCTCACAGAGAGAACTCGGAGCAGCCTCGGACGCTGCTCAGAGGGTCCTGCCCTCCCTGGAGCAGGCAGGGAGGGCTGTGTGGTGCTCTGCACAGTCAGACCACTTGTTGCTGGAATGCTCTCTGGGAACTGCCACCCCAGGAAGGTGCTCTTGGAAACCTCAGTGCACGGAAGAGACTTGAACTCTCGCCCCTGACCCCTTACAGTTCTCTGCACACAACAGGTGCTCAATAGCTTGGGTTTGTAGGCAAGCGGGAGATTTGGGATCTGTACCTGGGGTCACACATCGGTGGGTTTAGAAGGTCTCAGGGAAATGGGGTCTCTTCCCTCAGGTAGTCATGATGTTCATGCCCCGTCTCCCTGACATGGACCCTGGTGGCCTCCCCCATAGCCAATTTCTGCCTTCCTTGCTGTCAATTAAGTCAGGGGCCACCTGTCGTTGAAGTGTGGTACTGCAAATGTCCAGGCCTCAATGCTGGATCCCAGAAATGTAAAGAACAACCCCCTGCAAAAAAAAAAAAAATCACCCCGAAAGTCACCCCTTGGCTCACAGATTCTCCTGTGGCGTGTCCAGCTTTTCTCCCTCGCGCCTGGGCAGATAGCCCTGCAGGGGCAATGCCACAGCCCTGTGGCTGCTTGAGCCTTTTGAACCTGAAGTCTACTCTCCCTGGAACCGTAGCCCAAAGAGGTCTGCATTGTTGCTTTCTTGTTTTGTTTTGCTTTGTTTTTGTTTTCCATTATTACCACCTGCATCCCATAAAATCGTACTGTGAACTGGAAGACGGTAGGATTTTTTAAAATTTGGTAGATTTTTGGCAGCCGGTTCTCTTGGCTGTTTCACTCTGGGCTCTGTGTATGGGGCCAGGAGTCGCCACTCTGGCAGGCCATGGGGGCTGCCCAGGTGCAGAACCAGCCATGCTGCGCCCCCTTTGCCACCTGTGCCCATGTGCTGCAAAGATAGATCCGGACTTGAGGAAGGAGGGGCTGTATTTGAAAGGATCACTGCAAGACTGGAAAAGGGAATATTTCAGCCAGGAGAATGCTCAGGCAAGCCGCTGCCCGGGCTGCCCGCCTCCCAGAGCTCCAGAAGAAAGGCCTTTGCTTTCGCAGGGAGGAGTGAGAGAGGTGTATTCAGGGACCATCTTGTGCTCGGCCTTTTGGGGCAGGAGCTGTATGTTGGGCTGAGGGTGGGTCCAGGTTCAGAGCCCCATGGGGAGGAGAGGAGGAGCATAGCTAAGGTTTCGTGGACTGAGTTAACCAGCGCGTTTTTCAGATGGAGCTGCGTATAAATCTTTTTTTAAAGCCAATTTAGCCTTCTGCCTGTTTTACAGCCTTGGAAATGTTTTCCTTACGAGCCTGGGAGCCATCTCTGAAATGTAAACCTCAGGGGACCTCAGGGAGACAGCGCCTGGCTCCCCGCCTGTCTGGGAGGGAGCAGCAGGCCAGGCCCGGGGCTCCAGGTGGGAACTACCTGCCGGCCTGGCTTCTCTTTGGCCTTGTTTACTTCTCCCTGTAAAAGAAGAGCCCCAGCTCTGAGACGCTTACAGGCCTCGTGGGATTGCAGTAGCCCCTGGCCTCACTGCCCTTGCTGCCTCTTGCAATAATCCTTTTGAATACAGCCTCCTTCCCCTTGCCCATGTCCAAATTCGCATTTGGCAGAGGGGATGGCAGACTTGATTATTTAAATTGGGGACCAGTTCTGCAGTCAGGGACTGTGTGAACTGCGTATATAGTATCTCTGCTGGACACCCCAGGAAGCCCACGGGTATGCCGACCAGAAAGGTGCTAAGAGGGGTTCTGCAGGATCTAAGCCAGGCGCCCCCAAAGCTCCCCTTCCCCGCATCCTCTCACACCATCCGCTGCGTGTGTGTGTGTGTGTGTGTGTGTGTGTCTGAGATCCAGGGCAATGTGAATTTTCTTTTATATGGGAGATTGTTCATAGGAAACAGATCATCTTCTCTCTCTCGTCCACCTAGTAATTGTTTACAGTATTTGTACATCTATGCAAAATACTTGAATGGGCCGTGGTGCCTTTTTCCCGTGTTTGTATTTAATTAAACTAAATTGTCATTTGAAATGTCTGGTCTGGCTATTCTTTGTTTAAACGTCCTGCTGCTCAGCCTGGAGAGGATCTGTTGCCTGAGGACTCCTCAGGAGAGCGCCCACAGAGACCACAGCCCGCAGCCTCAATGGGAGAAGCTGGAGCCGTACACAGGCCTTGGGCTGCCCCAGACCAGTCGAAGGGGCTGTTAGTGTGCACCGGACATAGGCTGGTCTAGTTTAATCAGGTTCTGGGTCAGGAAAAGTGTGAATGATCCTGGTATGAATTTAGGCAGCAGCTGAGACCCTGTTCTCACCTTAATTGCTATGGATCCTACACTTGAAAAGTCAAAGAGAGAGAACTTGCCCCTGACTATTGGGCTGGGTGGGCACGTGGGGCTGGGGTGGGGTGGGAGGTGCTTTCAGACTCCAGAGCTCATCCATTAATGCTTCCCAAACCATGAAAGGGTCCCACCCTTACTCTCTTATTGGACCCACTTCAAGTTTGAGGCTCTCTCAGACAGACAGGATCCACACAACCGTGATAGCAGGAAGCATTTACTGAGTAATTACCCAGCTGGGCTCCGTATGCTACTTTGCCTCATTTATTCTTCACAGCAGCCCTGGGAGGGTCCTTGATTCCGATCCTACTTTTGTAGTGGTGAGTTTGCCTAAGGACATCAAAGACCTCAAACACTAGGGCCCTGCCTCCTAAGGTGCCTGCTCATGAAAGCCCCCACCAAACAGCCCTGCCTGCCTAACCCCATCATCGAAGCCAACCATTGTTCAGACACAGAGCCATATGCAGGGTCAAGAATAAAGACCTGCCCAGACCTGGGTTCAGATTCTGCCTCTGCTGCTTGCTAGATGTGTGAGGGGGGGGGGGGGGGGGGGGCGGTAAGTTCCAGAGACTCCTTTTCATGCAAGTGGGACTAACTCCCGCCTCTGGGAATGCCGTGCTCATTAGCAAAGTGCCCTGCGGGAGCCCGCCCAGCTAGGGCTGGCCCAGGCTAAGTGCTCAGAAATGACATCCGTGTCGGAGCTGAACATGGGGTTCGATTAGATCTTACTCTGGGTTGAGAGCTGGTCCACAAGAGAGTTTGGGCAAAAAAAGACTATTTGGAATGGTATTGTTCCTTCGTTCAATAAAGGTTTTTATGAGTCTCAATGATGTGCTTAGGACATCCACCCGGGCCTTGGTGGTCGCTCTGTACTCCGAGGCAGTGACAGCACAGATCACAGAAGACATGAGCAGAGTAAGATCAGACTGTGCCTGGACGTTAAGACTGCAGACTTGGAGCCAAATATCAACATGGACTCTTCCTGGCTGTGTGGCCTTGGGCGATTTCTTAACCTCTGACCGAGACCCTTTCCTCACATATAAGATGAGGATAAAAAAAAATATCTGCCTCGAGGACTTAGGAGGACATAAAAAGAGAATTTACATGAAGCTCTTAGCATGCTGTAAGGGCTCAGGCTGACTGACTGTTCCCTAACCAGCCTTCCGCTGTAGGAACTTCTTGGAAGCCACAACCCTCCCGAGATCGGGACCGGCTTCCCAGCACTAGAGGGACCAGGGTAATTAATTGTTCCGTGTTTAAGAAAGGCTAAGACGCAAGTCTAAAGTAAACACACCCGAAGGTCTTTATTCTTGACCCTGCAGACCACACTCTCAGGGCCCTCAAATTACCGCTATTCCCAAGATCCAACATGCTGCATTGATTTTAGTTACAGACAGAGATCCACATTCCTTAACAACTGGGGATTTGAGGCTGGCGGTGCAGGAAGCCAGCCTGTTGGTCAACTGCACCTTGGGAGCTCCAAGGCCAGCAAGACACTGGCCTGGGCTTGGCTGCACTAGAGGGGTTAGGGTGTGTGTGTAGGGGGGGTGGTTTGGAGTGAGGGTGGGAGGTGGGGGTGAGGGGGTGGGTGGAAGGTGGTATGTAAACACAGTGCAGCAGGGAGCTCTCAGGGGAGGAGCTGCCCCAGCTCAGAGACTGAGGGTCAGCTCCTCCCTCTTTACAGACACTTGGCTCCATTCAGTAGTTCTTGTACCAACTTGCACTCTCCTGCAGCTGGAAAGCTTGAAGGGAAAGATATCAGGTATCTCCTTCTCCAGCTGCTCCTGTTTTGTGAATGCCTCTGGCCAAGTGAGGGGACCAACAACAGTCCCCAAAGCAGGTGGTGTTGGAGCATCATGACACGCTGCTTCCCAGGTGGGCAGCTCATCAGGGGAACTGGGGCTTGGTGGCAATCTGGTCGACAGCCAGATGCTCCTGTGCCAAGCCTACACCCCACTTGGTCTCTGGAGTTCAAGGCTGGTCCCAATGACCAAACCTCTAAGGCTGGAGCCCAGAAATTACCCAGAGTCCTCTCTGCCTAAGGAGTTGGTTGGGCACCAAAGTAAACACAAAAGTTAGCTCCTGGTTTCCATGGAGCCAGTGGCTGCTTCCTGCCAAATCCTGACTTTGCTCTTCACTTTCCCCATCTCCAAATATTTTGTTTCACTCCTCGACGAAAAGAAAAGTGCATCTGCTAATAGCTCGACAGGGCACGTTTAAGAGCAGTGCCATTGTCGTTCTCTGAGGCAGAAGGACACACTGGGTTTGGCCAGCAGAGCTTGGCTGCGAAGCATCTTTTGTTGTGGTTGTCTCTTTGCTTTGAGTTCTGAGATAACTGCCTGAACATCGCAATAACGGACTCCTTAGGATGTAAGGACAGAAGAGAAGGTCAGGCATGGGGGAGGAGGCAGTGGGAATGAAGATGCTGACTTCTGGACTGGAGAGTGGGGCTGGTGAAAATGTTTCCCTGAGATACCAGGTGACTTTCACAGTAAGAAGGTCAGTTGAGGTCTTACTTCTGTCTCCAAAGAAAGAGGAAGCAGCGAAAGCAGCAAGACATTTTTCCTTAGCTGTGTCTCTGGACAGGGAGGCATGGCGATGGCCCTGAGCCAGTCTTTGGGCTGAGGAATGGCGAGTTAGTCTCAGGAGAATGGCGCTGAGGATTTCCTGTCGACCAACATCTCAGGGAAGTCCTTAGACTGGGCTACATTCAACAGGTCAGATTCTGTCTTCTTCCACCCACATACAGATGGCACCCAGGAAACACGTGGGAAGGGAGTTTCAGGGGTCCCCCTGGCAGCAGTATAAGCAGGGCGCTTGGTCACTGAAGCTGTGATCCCAAGAAGTTCTGTCCCCACCACACACTGGGTACGGGTTTTCCTTCTGGAAACAGCGATGAGGTATAAATGAACATCTCAGCGAAGAGAGCCCATCGGTGACAGCTGTGCCGAATATAACTCCCCACGCCAGGAAGCCAGGTTGCACCACGGGGCTCATCCTCACTCGGGATCCCTGAGCTAAGAATGGACGATAAATACTTTGGGCTTCTCTTCTGGTGAGGAGTTCCTGGAGAGTTCTATATTGTCCACGAGGACATTCTTGTCTTCGAGTCTGATAACGGTGGGCTCGGGGGCGGGGGCGGGGGTGGGGGTTTTGTGCATGTGAGGCAAGCGTGTCTGGCTCATGTCCAGGTCTCTGAAAGCATGAAGCATGAACACGCCCAAGATGATGGTGACGAAGCCCGAGAGGGTGCCCACGATGTCCACGGCGGACATGCTGTGCCACTCCTTGAAGAGGATGATGGAGGAGGTGACCACGATGGTGGTGAAGAACACGTAGTAGATGGGGAACACCAGGGACGTGTTGAAGATGTCCAGGGCCCTGTTGAGGAAGTTGACCTGAGTGCTGAGCGAGAGGGCGAGGATGAGGGACAGGATGTAGGGGAGCGGGTGCCGCACCACGGGCAGCCCCTGGAAGAAGTTCTTGATGGTGATGCCCAGACCCTTGACGGCAGACACCGAGAAGGCCCCGATCACAGAGCAGATGACAATGTAGACGAGGATGTTCCTTTGTCCGTAGCGTGGGGCGACAACGAAGATGAGGATGAGGCAGAAGACCAGCAGCAGCACAGCAAACACGATGTACCCTTCAGAGGAGAGGGGGACAGAGAAACCCCATGGCTGTGGTTTCCTCATTTGTAAACTAAGGCTAATAATAAGACCTTCCTGGGGAGGGCGGGTGGGAAGAGATCAACCAATGAACTTGTATGCATATATGCATAACCCATGGGCATGGACAATGGGGTGGTGAGGGGGTTGGGGGATGGGAGCTAGAAGAGGCTAATGGGTGTGGGGAGGAGGACCTATGTAATACTTTCAACAATAAAGATTAAAAAAAAAAAAAAAAAAAAGACCTTCCGCAGAAAGCTTTTCTCACAGGATTAGATGAGATAATGTATGCTGTAAAACAGAATGTGTCCCCCCCAAATTCTATGTTGAAACATAATCCCCAAAGTGATGGTATTTGGGGGTGGGGCCTTTAGTCATGAGGATGGAGCCTTCATGAATCGGATTAGTATCCTTATTAAAGGACCTCAGAGAACTCCCTCGACCCCTCTGCTCATGGGACACAGTAGGAAGATGGTTTCTATGAATCCAGAAGTCAGCTTTCGGCAGACACCTTGATCATGGATTTTCCAGCCTCCAGAACCATGGGAAGTAATTGCTGTTGTTTATAAGCCAGCCAGGCTACAGTATTCTGTTATAGCAGCTACAACTGGCTAAGACAATGCCAGGGGTGGGGAACCTTTTTTCTGCCAAGCGCCATTTGGATATTTATAGCATCATTCTCAGGACATACAAAAGTATCAACTTAAAGATTAGCCTGCTCTCTTTGGTCAAACATTTCATTAACTCACCCCTAATGCTTTGGCAGGACCAGATCAAATGATTTCATGGGCCTTGTATGGCCCATGGGCTGGACGTTCCCCACCCCTGGACAATGCAGATAAAGCATTCAGCACAGTGCCTGGCACATACTAAATAAACACTGAATAAATGGGTGGATAGATATCAGGCTGGGAAACCTATAAGCACCAACCACCACCTTTCTTTAGCTTGCCTTCGCCTCCAGGTGGCAGCACCTGAGATGCTCCCAACCCAGTCAGCCCTCCCACTTGGTTCATCCCCCAGGGCTTTCCTGCTCAGGGTGGAGGGAGAAGGGGTAGTGGGCAGGCAGGGAGAGGGAGGGGAGGGGGGGAGAGGCTGGAGCCTACCTGTGTCTTTCATCTTGGCAGCCATCTCAATGACAGTGGTGACCTTCTCCTCCTCGGGGGCATGTATCACCATCACTGTGCTGCCGGTCACACAGATCACACAGCCCAGCTTCCCCAGCAGGTTCAGGCTCTCTCCCAGGAAATAGGAGGAAAGGATGGCACTGCAGGTGGGAATGGGAGGGAGCGATGAGGCAGCTGGGCCTGTGCAGCTCCCAGGAGAGAAATAGGGTCTGAGCAGGTGGTCCCCAAGAACAACAGAGGACGCACTCCTCTCTCACAGGGAAGCTTTTCGAGACTCCCCCAAAGCCCTCACTGATTGAAGGTTATGGTGTGTGCTGGTGGGACTGAGGACATGCCTGGGAGTTCCTTTCTCTCAGAGACTAGAAGTATTCCACAACAGAAGATGTGGAAGAGTCCTTCAAAGCACGTTTGTCTAATTTCCTACCCGATGAACACGTCTTTGCAAACAGATGGCTTTCAACCTTGGCTTGTATACTTCTGATGGCAAGCAGCTCACCTCTTCACAAGGCAAATGAATCCACTGTAGGCTCATTTTAATTATACACCAAAATTATGGCAATTTGTACTCATTATTCCATTTCTATTCCTTGAGCCATACAGAACAAATCTATTTCTTTTTCCTTTTTGTATGTCAATCTAAACAACCACAATAACAATTCTAGGCCTGTGTCTCAGGCCTGTGTTACATACTACGTATTACACTAGGAACTTTTTATTTATTATCTCACTAGCATCTCACAACTCCTTGAGAAGTAGCATATGTTCTCCCCATTATATATTATATATCTATTATATATATATTATATAATAGATGAGAAAACTGAGCCTCACAGAAGTTAAAATAACTTGGAGAGGTCATACAACTGGTTAGTAGCTGAGCCAGGATCTGAGTTCCAGTTCTGTCTCATTTTAAAGCCTGTGCGTTTTCCTCTAAACATCACTGCAGAGAATTCTCATGACTCCCCTGAGTCTCCTCTTCCTTTCCTTTTCTTTTGTTTTTTCCAGTTCGTGCCCTCTCTCTCTCTCTCTCTCTCTCTCTCTCTCTCTCTCTCTAAGTATTACATATAGTAGTACATATATTCCTTTCTTTTTCTGGGCAAAGTACCCCTACTTCCTTGCTGTTCCTAGATTATGTAATTTTCATCCCCCTCACATCTTCCAGATGAGCTAGCAGAGGTGACAGAAGGAGAAGTGAGGGAAATCGGGCAAGAATGATATAATTGCTAGGGCATGCTTTTGTTTCTTTACAAAGGATGTGTTTAAAGAAAAAATCTGTTTCTGACCTAGGCCTAGTTGGAGGGGATTAATGTCCAAGCTCCCATCTCTCCTCTAAAAAGACCAAAAACATTTTATCCACTCGGCCTGTTCAAGAGAGCCTGGTGCCTTTGCGTGAGCAGAGGTCACACACTGGAGGACTTCTGACCCTCCCAACTTCCCTCGGCTGGGAATTTGTAAATGAATCAGATAGGCAGTCATGGTAACACTGCTACAGCAGCCAACTATGCAAGATGAGTTACAGCTCTAGCTGTTGTTTTTGACTGTGTAAGTCTTGCAAAGCTTGTCATCAAGGAGTACGAAGCTGCGAAATCATAGATCTGGTGTGAGTGGCTAGGATCCCCCAAGGCTCCCAGGTTAAGCCAATTCAAGGCAGCTTCCAATGGGGCTGGCTACAGGACACCCCACCCCCACCCCCAGAAGAATTGTGTTTGTGGATCAGGAGGAAAGGGGCAATGGGAAGCACACACATTGAGTATCAGTTATTTGTTAAACTAGCTAATGTTTGCAAGGCAACATAGCACAGTGGCTGAGCACCCAGACTCACATTAGAGTGAGAAACTCAGCTGCTGGTGGGAAACTCAGCTCAGCCTCTTAGGACCTGCGTGACCTTGTTCATTGCTTAACCTCTCTGGGCCTCAGGTCTCTCCTACTTTTAGCAGGGATGCTGACAGGATTAAATGAGTTACTACACGGAATTCATTTAGAATATCTAGGATGTAGTAAGCCGTTCATATATGTTAGCCATGGTTCCTTTTCAATGCCAGTCTAACTATGCACTTTCTGTGCACGATCTTATTTAGTCCTTGTGGCCATGCCCTGAAGTAGGTGTTATTAGCATCCTTATTTAGCAGGTGGGGAAACAGAGGCTTAGAGAGGTTAAGTGACTTGCAGATGGTAACGTAACTGCAAAGTGGTAGAGCTACGATGAGAACTCAGGGCATGTTCACCTTGGGTTCATGCTTTTCACCTGTAAGCTTCTCCTATCGGGGAACCAAAACACTGACGAGAGACGTTTGGGCAGTTGGCAGTGGAAACCCTTCCCATGGGGTTGGACTTGGCCTTCCCCTCCATTGCCTGGTGAGATGAGGAGATGCTAGAGCCACTGGCAGCAAGCAATAACAGGAACCAGAGCTCTGAACAGCATAATGCCTCCTGTGGGACCTAGGACCGATCCACGTCCCTCATTGCCAGTGGCAGTTGACTCCACTTGGCAATTCCAGACCTCAACAAACTGAAAATAGAAAAGAGCCGGGGAAAGCAAGAGAGGTGACAATAACCTGATGAGGACACTCAGCGCTCCCAGAGGTGTGATGACTGTCGCAGGAGCGAATGCGTAGGCCCCGAAGTTGGCGATTTCTCCAGCAGCCACTAGGAAATGAAGGGAGAAAAGAGGCTCCAATGCTCCATCTCCAGCCCAAATGAATGTGGGTGGAGACGGCTTCATTCAATGTTGGGCCATTCACAGAACCCCAGACTAGCAGCCCTTAAAGTCCGGATCCTCGTGCTCTCTCCCTGGAGAATCTGATCAGAAGGCGAGGCCCAGGTCATCCTGATCAAATCTTCCCATGCTAAAGATGGGGAAGCGAGGCCCGGAGTTCAAAGTCACATGACATGGTTGTGAGCAGACATGATCTTATTGAGGTCTTTTGGCTTCTAGTCCAGGCATAGTTAAGTGTGTCTCAAGGACTGCCAATATGTGCTCTGTATCTTTAAGATAAGTTGTTTAAAAAAAAAGTATTTTATTGATTTTTTGCAGAGAGGCAGGGAGAGGGACAGAGAGCCAGAAACATCGATGAGAGAGAAACATCGACCAGCTGCCTACCGGGGATGTGCCTGCAACCAATGTATATGCCCTTGACCAGAATCGAACCTCGGACCCTTCAGTCCGCAGACCGACGCTCTATCCACTGAGCCAAACCGGTTTTAGCAAGATAAGTTTTAAAAAGTGTTAATTATCAAGTAAAGAAACAGTTACAGTTATTAATTCTCCAGGTACCAACTGGTCCAGAGTCATCTTTCCCAGAGGGACTGTGGGCGGTTTACAACAGAGAGGCGGGTGGTTAGAAAGCCTGACATTCTCAAAGGGCCCCATTCTCCCCCGCTTGCAGACTCCTGCCTGCCTCTTCTGTCTCTGCTGGAAGAGAATGATGGGTCTGCCCTTTGAAAGCAGATGATAAATGGGATAGCTCCAGCTAGGACTGGAATCAAAACTCGACGTGGGGAGACGTGGGGAATTATAAATGGAAAGCTGGCTAATTTCCCATCTGAAAGAATTAGGGCTTAAAAGCCAGAGAGGGTGGGTGGAACAGTGTGAATGTGAAAATTTGGGCAAACCTTAAGTGGCAGGCCAGCCTGTGCTAAGTGAACCCACAGATTACCTGTGGAATGGAGGAACTGGCTCAGGAGCACCAGCTTCTGTTATAGAGAAGTCCAAGAGACGCCAACAGACAATGATATCCCCCTACATTTCAGGGGAGGTTGAGAAATTGCTCTTTTATCATGACCAGCTCTGTACAAACCTCTCTGGGAACAGATGCTTCATGGATGAAAAATCGACTTATGGTTGAGAACGTGATCTGAGATGCAGGTAAGCTGTTCTATTATACCTGCAAAGACTCTCAGGCTTCCCCCTGAAAACCTGGGCCTCACATTCAAACTTCGCTCACTGGAGACAGAAGCGTCCCCTCCACCCTTCCTTTCACCTCTGCCTCTGCCATCAGTAGGTCACTGTCATTGGTAGCAAAGCCCCCACTTACTGGTGAGAAACCCGGCCCACCACATGGAGTCCTTCAGGTAGCCATAGCCTCCGTCCACTGCAGAAAGAAAGGGACACAGAGTTAGAGCTTGGCCACACTTTCTCCGGCACCGTTTCTATCTCTGCCTTCGCGCCACAATCTGAGGTACAATGTGTGTTAGCTGTGGTTAGTCCTCCGGGCTTGCTTCTGGGCCCTTTCCTCGTGAGTTCACCCATTCCCCAAATTTTAAATACTGACTCTGTGCTAGTGTCCCTATTTCATGTACTATGTGCCCCGATCCTTCCTTCTGAGCCCAGATGTATATCCAGTTGCTTATTTGACATCTCTTGGATCTCTCAAAGGCATCTCAAACTCTGACCTAAATGGAACTCTTGATTTTACCTGCTCCCCATCCATCCACCAAATGAAACTCAGTAACTGGCACCTCCATATACCTAGTTGCTGAAGCTGGAAACCAGACTTTACCCTTGACTCCTCCCACCCCTCCACCTTCTGCATCCAGTCCATCCTGCTGATTCTGCCTCCAAAAAGCATCTTACATGTGTCCTCTCCATGGCCACCACCCAACTGCAAGGACTATCATCACCTCTGGGCTGGGTTGAGGCAGTAGCCTCTTCTGGTTCTTCTTTTATCCCATTATAATCCATTCCTTTCATCGCAGCCAGTGGTCTCTGACTTAGTCTTTCTCAGCTTATAGCTGGCCAATGGCTTCCAAATACTCTTAGGGTAAAGACTACGAACAAGTTCATAGTTTTGACCCTGCTCACCTCTCCCAAGGTATCTGCCACACTTCTTACTACAATCTAGCTGCTCAGGCGCTATTTTAGTTCTTCAAAAATGATGAGTTATATATATATATATATATCAGAGAGCAAGGGAGAAGAGATAGAAACATAAATGATGAGAGAGGAGAGAGAATCATTGATCCGCTGCCTCCTGCACACCCCCTACTGGAGACAGAGCCCACAACCCGGGCATGTGCCCTGACCAGGAATCGAATTGCATGACCTCTTAGTTCATATGTCAAGGCTAAACCACTGAGCCACACCTGCCGGACTCACCCTTAAGACCTTTGCACATGCTTTTCTGTGTTCGGAATAGTCTCCTTAAGGATATTTGCCTGAATCTACCCCCACTCTATAGGTCTCTATAGGTCTCTATAGAGTGGGTGTAGATTCAGGCAAATATCCTGATATAGTGATGCTGCCTCTGAGACCTTTCTCCCTTGGAACCTTCTATCATCTCACCCAGCTCTTCTTACGTGTATCATCTATAATGTGAATCCATCTATTTATTTCTGGCATTTCTCCCACTAAAATGGAATTGTGTCTGCTTTGCTCACATGGTGGGCACAGAGCCTGATCCATAGTCAATACTCAATAATATTAGCCATGATGATGATAATGGCTGGGTTAAAGATGGTTCTGTGAAGATCCAAAATTGCATGTCACTTTTTGTACATTCCCATTTCTCTAAGGTCTGTAGGTTCCTAAAGGAGTTAAAATCTTTCTCTCACACACACAAAAAGAGTTAACAGCTCTGAAAGCATTTTACTCTAAGGTTTGAAATCTCAGAAGATATTAAAATAGCAGAAAATTAAATTGAACATGTCCCAACTTGATTACATCATCTTTTCACAAACCTGCTCCTCCTGCATTATTCATCTCTCAAAACAGCACCCTCATCTTCCCAGTTGCTCAAACCATAAAGCTGTGTCATCCTTGACTCGTGTTCTTACATCAAACCCAGTAAGTTCTACCTTCAAAACTGGACTCCACCACTTGTCTCCATTCCAACAGCTCTCTCTCAGGCCCAGACAAAGTTCTGCTGTCTCTCTCCCCTAGTTGGTCTTCCAACTTATCCCTAATTCATTCTCTACCCAGCCACCAGGAATCATCTCACACCATAAATTTCAGTCACTTACAATCACGCTCAAATTCTGAAGCCCAGTTTACTCAACCCGTCATGATCTGGCCCCAACACCATCTCTTCCCTGGCCACGCTCCAGCCATCCTGAACTACATTCAGTTTCTAACACCACTCATGCTCTCACCTCTGAGCCTTTGCACATGCTGTTCTTTCTGCCTGGAACACTACATCCTCCTCCCCACCTCACCTGGTTATCACCTCATTATTTAGGTCTCAGCTTCTGAATTGCTTCTCCAGAAAACCTCCCCTAACTTCCAAAGCCAGGGCTTTACATGTTCCTCCAAAATATTGCCATAGCCTCCTGTTTTCCCCATGACAGCACTTCACACACAATGGAACAACTGCCTACTGTCATGCCTGTCTCTCCCACCAGATTCAATGCCCCAGGCACTGGGTCCCATGTCCAACGTGGCACCTGGCACACAGCAGGTACACAGCGAATGATGATTAAATAAGGACATGCTTGTACACGTGATGCCATTTCTCAAGAAATGTTTCATGGGTGCATGTCTTATTTTCCAAAATTGTGGACAGAGATTCCACAATTTTGTGTAGCCCATAAAAAGGGTCAATATGCTAGCAACTGAGGACACAGTAGTGTCTGACATTGTTCCAGACAGAGGTACTTGTAGTCTCCTTTTGTAGGGAAGTTGTGACTCGTCTATGATGACACAGCTGATAAGAAATAAAACTGGGCCGAAACCGGTTTGGCTCAATGGATAGAGCGTCGGCTTGGGGACTGAAGGGACCCAGGTTTGATTCCGGTCAAGGGCATGTACCTTGGTTGTGGGCATATCCCCAGTGGGGGGTGTGCAAGAGGCAGCTGATCGATGATGACTCTCTCTCATCGATGTTTCTAACTCTCTATCTCTCTCCCTTTCTCTCTTTACAAAGTCAATAAAATATATTTTTTTTTAAAAAAAGAAAGAAATAAAACTGGGACTAGACTTGGGGTTTCTGATTCTTGGCCCTGAGACCCTTCCCTCTCTTCACCCCAGTTAAGTGATCATGAGGATGTCAGGATATATTGGACTGGATTCCCAATGGGGTTGACAGTGAGCCTTTTGCACCCTTCCAGGCCAGGCTCTCAAACTGCTGCAGTGAAGGGAGGTTCACGTGGCTGTCTGAGGGTTCAGCTGCTCAGCACCTCATCTCTACCTCCCCTTCCCCCCCGCCCCAGGAGCCTACCAGCCCGAGTGGCCCCCGAGGCCACCAGACGCTGGAGGCCTTTCTTCTTGAGGATAACGCTGCTGCCGATTAGGAAGCTGGACAGGAAGGCCAGACCCAGGCCGACGTAGAAGCTGTAGTACTTCGTGAATTTCTCATGCCAACTGATAGAGGTGACATTGCTGGGCGCCTGGGGGTTGAGGTCACCGATGATCTGGCACAGGACTTGCTGGGAGGAGCAGTATAGGGTGATCAGGGAGCCTAGGCGGGAAGACCAGGGTGAGAGACATCAGCATGCTTTAAAAATATTAGAATCAGACCCCAAGCTTCAACCATGGCAGGACTCCATCCGCACCCTGCCCCCCACACCACCACCAACAACCTAAAAATAGCAGTTAGCATTCAATAGAGCTTACTCCAGGCTTGCATGAACTCATCAGATTCTTTTTTTTTTTTTTTAATATATTTTATTGATTTTTTACAGAGAGGAGGAGAGAGGGATAGAGAGCTAGAAACGTCGATGAGAGAGAAACATCCACCAGCTGCCTCCTGCACACCCCCCATTGGGGACATGCCTGCAACCAATGTACATGCTCTTGACCGGAATTGAACCTGGGACCTTTCAGTCCGCAGACCGACGCTCTACCACTGTGCCAAACCGGTTTCGGCTCACCAGATTCTTATAACCACCTGTCATGTAAGTGCTGTCTTTCAATCCCATTTCACAGACACGGATTTCACAGACACCTCGCCTACGACCACAGGTGGACTCCCGAACTCCAGCAGCAGGCCACTCAGCTCTTCTGGACCAAACAACAGGCAGGGTCCCGAGCTCTCCTTGAGTCCGATCTCCCACCTCCACAGGAATCCCCTCCCAGCCTCCGGGCCTCCAACAGCTGAGGATCACACAGGGGTTCTCCCTCCGGAGACCTCCTCACTTACATCTCCCCAACAGCCACAATGGAGACCCTGACAGGTAACATGAGGCAGTGAGGTTAGAGATCCCATAGCCCTTTTTAGGCCCGAGGATGATGAAATATAAGTGTTCAGTTTGTTACAACTGACCAGTCCCGGGCCTGACTTCTGAGACCTCCCGTGCTTGTGGCCAGAGGCTGGGGATTATTTTCAGGCCTCAGAGGGACCAGTGTCTCTCTCAGATTCTGATTGTATTTTGCTTTCTTTCTTTTTTTTCTTTTTTTTTCTTTTTCTAAAAAAATATTTTATTGATTTTTTACAGAGAAGAAGAGAGAGAGGGATAGAAAGTTAGAAACATCGATGAGAGAGAACCATCGATCAGCTGCCTCTTGCAACCCCCTATTGGGGATGTGCCCACAACCAAGGTACATGCCCTTGACTGGAATCAAACCTGGGACCCTTCAGTCTGCAGGCTGATGCTCTATCCACTGAGCCAAACTGGTCTCAGCTGTATTTTGCTTTCTAAGTCCTAGTCTGTGAGTCTGAATCTGCCCTCATGCCCCAGAGCCCTCTGCTGGCCCTTCTGGCACCAACACGGAGGACAACAGGACAAACTTGGGCCTGAGGGGGCAGACACTTAGTCAAAAAGCTAAGCCGTCCAAGTTCAAGGAACAGGACAAAGCATAGCCAATGGTCCTCCATGTGGGCCTCTGCTCCCGGGCTTTCCATGGACCTTCCCATCATGAAAATGGCACAGTTATATGTCCAGGGTTTTAGCTGGAGAAATTGGGACCCTGATAAGTTCGGCAACCTGCCTAAGGCTACATTGCTGGAAACTGGTGAAGCCAGAACTGGACCCCAAACCTACCTATTGCCAAAACCCATACTCTCAGCCACCACCAACCCTTAACACAGGGAGCAGGGGGGATGGTGGTGTTCCATTTGGCCTCTGGAGGGTTATTTAAAAATATGAATTTGTTACCAACGTTTAAAAACCAGGAGATTTCGCATGGAAATGCAGCTCTTAGTTACCTTATGGGGCAGACCTTCCCACTGTAACAATTGGCTGCCACAGAGCATTGCTGTCCCCCTAAACGGGACATGCTCTTTGCCATGCCCCAGAGTCCATACCAGGCTTCCTACTGTCATTTTTAAAAATTCTTTGTTTGTTTGTTTGTTTATTTATTTATTTATTTTTATGTAGTCAGCCCTTGTAGGCTTTTGAATTTGTGACCTCTGGTGGCAGGTCTTTTTCTAACTGTGTGTCATAAAGACCTGTATCCTGTGTCAAGGATGTAAGCCTGGACCCAGCTTGCAATAATTCAAAGTCAAGCAGCTCTGGCTGTGGAATACGCAGCCCCCAGAGTGGCCTCTCAGTGGAACTAAACAAGAGCAATGTTGGCCTTTCTTCCTTGGCACAGAAGCATGGGCCAGCCGAGCTGGAACAGTCCTCAGAAGGCACCTGTCCAGCCCCCTTTCAGCCGGGGAAACTGAGGCCCCGAGAAGGGAAGTACTAACTTGTGTCACCCACCCAGGAGCAGCGGGCTGTGGAACCCACCAGCGGATACCTACGTGTCCTTTACAGTGGGCGACCTGTCTGACATCAGTGTCACAATCGAGAGAAGATGAGACCATTAGAAGTCATCTCTCTGCCCCTAATCAAACTCGTTCTGATTGCTCACTCCTGTTCCTCAAGAGTCAAGCCTGGGAGTTCCCTGGGCCCAGGAAATGAGCCAGAGCCTGGGAGGACGTGGGCCAAGGAAGGCGACTCCCAAGGGGAAGGACAAGCCCATCCCCATGCCAGCCCTTGCCCTCCTGACGGTGTACCGCCAGCAGGTGGAACCAAAGGGCCCGCTGTGGGCTTGGCTGTTTTGGAGAGGCCTGAAGCCCCCAGGGGCACAGCACCCTACATATGGAGTCAAGTCCTCCCGTAGGGATAACAGGAAAAAGAGAGAGGGCTGAGGGCCAAAGGCAACCCAGTTCTGGGAAGGATGCCATCGGACAGGCAGGTGTTGGGCCCCAGCATTCCTGCTTCTCTTCCAGGACACACCGGGGCTGGGAACGTGTTCTTCCCCAGGGCAAGGAGAGGCTGAAAATGAACGACCTGGTTGGTCAGGAAACCAGAGCCAGCCAACACCCAAACAGGCTGGCTTTGACAGCTTCACTGGAGAGAGAAGTTAGGACAACAGGGGAATCCCACAGCTCAGACAGGTGAGAAAGCAGAGACATAGCAAGAACGATTTGAGCACAGTGGTGGGAGTATGGGTTTCAGAATCCAAGAACCCTCATTCCATATTCCATTCTCCACTGTATTACCCCGAGTTCTCAGACTTTCCAGAGCAGCGGAATCTCTGTCTCCAGACAGTAAGGCAACCCTATCTACCTGTCTTCCAGGGTTGTGTTAGGAGTTAAGCCGTAAGAAGTCGATGTAAAGCCAAGGGTCTTGCCTTATGGCTTGTTCTTTCCCCCCTTTTCCTAAAAGGTGTGTGTGGGTTTCGGGGGGGTGCCCTCACCTGTTTTTAATGGGCTCCAGGGAGACAGCCAGACGCGGGCAGGTACTAAAGTCTGAAGCAGGTATTACATGAAAAGAAACCTGGGATCCCACACCTCTAGATCGACCTATCGCAATCAGTGCCTGCTTCCCCCTCCTCCCTACCCCATTTGTCCCCCTTTTTCCCCTTGTCCCTTCAGCTACCCAGCTCCCAAGATGGGGGAAGCCAACCAGAACCTTCCCAAAGTAGGTTTGAGAACTGGGTGGGAGACAACTCGTACTGACCTCCCCCACCCCCAATCCCCTCCCCATACCCACCCCACCTCCACCTATATCACCCCTCGGTTTTGGGCGCCCCTGGCAGGAGAGGATGTGAAGGAAAGGAGCGCGGAATGGAAGGCGCGCAGTCCCTTGGGTTCCCCCTATCCCGCCACCCAGCCCCTTCTTGGTCCTGTACCCACCGTTCTCGCAGCTGGCATAGCTGGCATTGCCGGCGGGCGGCTCCATGGGCGCCGGGCGCCCGGGCTCCGGAGCAGGTGGCTGAGACTCGTCCCGGGCGGGCGTGCGAGAAGCCGCCCGGGTCGGACCCGGGGGCAGGGAGAATGACGCGCCCCAGAAGGGGAGGGTCCCCGGGGAGGCGTCACCCAGGGGCTTGGGCAACTCTAAGGCCGGGGGGGGGGGGGGGGGGGTGGGGGGGTGGGGGGGTACCCCCCGCCTCCTGCACTCGAGCGGCCACAGAGGGGCGCACGCCCTCTGGGGGGGCGGACGAGAGGGAGTCACCGCCCCTCGCCCAGCGCAGGCGGCCGGGGGCGGGTCCCTGGGCGCCTCCACCCTCCGAAGCTGGGGCGGGCACCCAGCTCCCTCTCCGGGGACAGCGCTGATGGGCCCCAGGACGGTGGCGGGAGAGAGGGCAGTTTTCCTGCCACGGTGGAAGTGGGGGATGGGAGGGGACACGGGTGCCAGCTGGGGCCCTCTCGAGCCACCCCCCACAACCCTGATTTTTTTCCTTCCTTCCTGCCTTTCTGACTTCCTACCTCCCTGCCTTGCTCATTCATTCAGCGCAGGTCTGATAGTGCTGGGCACATAGTGGGTGCGCAGTAAAGGGTCGGTAACACGTGGAATGAATGGTGATAGAAGCTTGGTGAATTGAATGAAAGAAGGAAGGGATGTGACTGGAGGCCAAAATGAGTCATACTTGGTCCCTGTCCCTAGAGAACTTTATGTATTATGGGGGGAAACACAATGGGATCAATTATCTAAATCACCATTAAAAAATAGGGTGAGGGAAAGACTTGATGCGGTTGTGTAACAATGAAAACAGAGGACAAGAGAGGTGGAGCAGGTCCCTGTGGCCTGGCCTTTTTATTTTTATTTAATTTTATTTCTTTTATGCATGTCACTAACCTGGTGACTGACTATGCCATAGGGGACCACAGCCGGTGAATACGGGGAGCAGTTGTTCTTCAAGGACCCTAGCACACTAAAGCAATAGCAAATTCCCAAGCATGACTCTAGCTTCGATTGGCCTGGCCTTTTTAAATCATGGGGGAGCCTGTTGAGGTTACAGTGCATTGTGCAGCCCAGATCCTGAGATACAGACGCCCACGTGTTGTTAATACACTTACTTTGGTATGTACTTGTGACTGGTGGAGCCACTACGTTTCAGGGTACAGGGCTAGGCCCCCTTGCCCGGAGGTAAGGGCAGTCCTGAGTTCATCCTGTGCTTGGAGACGGGGCCTTTCAGAGTTAGGCGAATTTCCTGTCTCAGCCCAGTGGGCTGAACTGGAAGGAGCTGGGATCTGCTGGAGAGCCCTCCACACCCCTCTGGGCCCAGAGTTCTGCTTGTTCTAGGAGGGGGCGGGGCCTCGCCGGGCTGCCATCCTGGGAACACGGGCATAAAAGGCCCCATTGAACTGCAGGCTCCTCACTGCTTCCCTACAAAGCCCTTTTCTCCTGGAGCCACAATAGCCCTGTCAGGCAGGTAGCAGGGCCTGCAGCGTTGTCTCCCCAGAAGAGAACAATGGGGTGCACTGTCTGTCCGGGGCTCAGTCCCACAGGGAGGGCGGGTGGCTTTGGAAGAGTCTGACCAGCCTGGGACAGATGGGCTCTGCCCTTAGCCAGCCAGGCCCTGGGAGCGAGCTACATCTCATTTGGCCAATACTTTTGGGATGAGTAGAAAAACAAATGTACCAAAACCCCAATTCCTAAAAAACGTGGCTTCTCCAAGTGCATGACTAAATGTTTTTTGTTAAAGAGCCATCGTGTCCGGTATGGCAGCCACCAGCTCCATGTAACGTTGGCTGATCTGCACTGTGCTAGACTGTGCGGTATAACAGGCACTGTTTGTGCTTTGTCATGGGGGGCTGCCCTGTGCAGGGAGGGTGGTTAGCAGCATCCGGGTCTCTGCCCTCTAGATGCCAGTAGCACACACGGCTGTCCTCCCTGCCCCTCCCCTTGTGATAACCAAAATCATCCTACACAATTGCCAAAATTGCCCAAGTTGAAAATCATTCAGATTTCAAATTAAGAAAAAAAAACAAAAACAAAATTAACTAATTATTTTTTTTTTTTTAGTATTGATGACTTGCTGAAATGATATATTGGCTACATGGGTTAAGAAAATTATATTATTAAAATTAATTTGCTTTACTCCTACTAAACAATTAAAAAAATTTAATATATTTTATTGATTTTTTTTACAAAGAGGAAGAGAGAGTGATAGAGAGTTAGAAACATCGATTAAAGAGAATCACCTATCAGCTGCCTCCTGCACACCCCCCACTGGGGTGTGCCCACAACCAAGGTACGTACATGCCCTTGACCAGAATCGAACTCGGGACCTTTCAGTCCACAGGCCAATGCTCTATCCACTGAGCAAACCAGTTTTGGCCCTACTAAGCAATTTAAAATGATATATGTGACTCACAGTGTCGTTTTCTAGAGGAAGAAGCTGCGGGCCAGAGAGGGAAGGTGACCAGTGGAAGGTCCCAGAACACCAGAGAGGCAGAGGAGGGCTTCAGTCAGGTTTCCAGACTGGGAGCCCAGGTCAACTCTACTACCCTAGATAGCTCTGCAGCTGGAAGGAAACCCCCAAATCAATGCCCTGTGAGTTTCCAGTGTGGTATGAAAGGGGGATAGAGAGTAGAGACATGAATGCTATTTACAGAGCGCTGGCTATATGTTACACATATGTTCGTGCAGTCTTTGCATACCCCTGAGAAGTAGGCTCTATTAGTAAGTATCTCATTTCTCAAATGAGGAAACTGAGGTCCAGCGAGGGCACTCAGCCTGTAATCCAACACAGAAGCCAAGAATCCAGCACAGGCTTTTTGACGCTTCCAGCTGCCTTGTGGTCCTTGGTCTAGAAACATGTCATTAGACTCGGATAGGTCACTTCTCCTCCTGCATTCCTACCCAGGTAAAGGGCTGAGCAACAAGCAGCATGGAGTCCTCCCCAGTCTTGCAGAGCTGGTCCTTTGTCATCATCTTCAGACTGACCTGGCATCATGGGAATCTGGACGGTTGACATGCAGAGGCCAACCACACTTCTCCAGGCGGGTGGGTCCCCAGGAGGCCGCTGTCCTCATAACGAGCTTTATTGTCAATAGAAGTAATGTTCGGAATGGACTCACGTGCACTCATACTGGCTCTAAGAAAAGCACCTTGCCCAGCAGTGGGGTCCACACCAATGGGCACCGACAACGGTATAAAGGACACACTGGTATAGTCCTGGCTTCTTCCTCTGTGTGCTAAGCCCTTTGAAGGCATTGGCTCCTGTGGTCATTACTCTGGGTACCATTTTAGGTCCCATTTTACAGATGAAGGAACTGGGGCTCAGGGGGGTGAAGTGATGTTTCCAAGATCACACCCAGCAGTACAAACAGAACTCCAACCTGGGCTGGTGAGTTCCCAGAGCAGCTCTCTTAGCCAAGGTGCTGGCTGAGGAGGCCAGAACATTCTTCCCAGTCCTTGAATTGGTTTTGCTCGGCATGGAGTGGCTGGGAACACTGGGCCCATCCAGAAGTCACACGGGGCAGACAAACAACTTTACCTCAGCCGTCCTTCAGAGTTAGAGCTGGAAGGCCTCCAATAAGCCAACCTCTTTGGTTTGCAGATGGGGAAACTGAGGCACAGAGAGGACAAGTTCAGGCCCACAACACCCTGCTAATCAGTGACACTTAAGAAACTGGTTTGGCTCAGTGGATAGAGCGTCAGCTTGCGGACTGAAGGGTCCTGGGTTTGACTCCGATCAAGGGCATGTGCATTGGTTTCGGGCACATCCCCAGTGGGGGGTGTGCAGGAGGCAGCTGATCAATTTTCTCTCTCATTGATGTTTCTAACTCTCTATCTCTCTTCCTTCCTCTCTGTAAAAAATCAATAAAATATATATTTTTAAAAAAGAATGCTAGTCCAGCACTTTTATCTCCAACTATGTGTTTGTTCTGGGCAGAAAGGGCTGGCCTTGGGGCAAATAAGAAGAGTTATTAATTTTTGACCACTTTTTAAGGATGAGCCAGTGCACTAAGGATTTCACACACATGATCCCATTTACTCTTCACAATGAGCCTTGGAGTGAGGTGTGGCTGGGATTCTGATGTCAGAGATGAGAAAGAGGTTAAGTAACTTGTCTGGAATTAAGCAGTGGAGCCAAGATGAAACCCAGCAGACTAATCACTCCGCATTTGTGGGATTCCCTCCTCGGAGCACCTGCCTACAGGTGGAGGACGTTTCAGATTCCTGGGGAGGGCAGAGCTCCCTGCGGGGAATGTATGTGGACGCGCAGTATTGCTCGGCCTTGGAGTGTGCGTGCACGTGGTGTGTGGATGGAAAGGAACTTCAGACCTCAGGAAAAGCAGCCTAGTTAGCATGATACTGAGATGGACGAGGACTTGCTGCACAACTGTCTGTGCTACAGGCTGCTTACTTGTATTCACCTCTGGTCCTTCGTCTTCCGAGGCACAGGAAGTTACCCTTGTTTTGCAGGCGATATAGTGAGGCTCTGGGATGTCTAGTGACTTGTTCATGGTCAGGCAGATGATAAAGTGGCTATGCTGGGACCCGAGCAGGTCCTCAACGCCTTATTGCGGTCTCTTCCTCGTTTCTTGCCTCCCGCTTGCCTGAGTCCCTCCTCAGGCAGCAGCCTCAGGGTGGTGGGTCGGGGGCACTGGAGGGACCCTTGTCTCTTGCATCTCTTTGCACCTAAAGCATCTGGTATGAGGACAGAGGCACAGGGGACTTTGTGGCCAGGGGAAGACTCTGATTTTAAAGTGGGAAGAGTCAATGAGAAGATGAAGAACAAATTTAGGCTCTGCTTTCCCTCTGAGATTTTTAAAAACAATAAATCCATTTTAAACATCGATGTCTGAGAGGTTAAAAAGTCAGGGGAGCCCTGGCCGGTTTGGCTCAGTGGATAGAGAGTCGGCCGGAGGACTGAAGGGTCCCAGGTTTGATTCCAGTCAAGGGCACGTGCCTGGGTTACAGGCTCAATTCCCAGTGTGGAGCGTGCATGAGGTAGCGGATCAATAATTTTCTCTCATCACTGATGTTTCTAGTTCTCTCTCCTTCTCCCTTCCTCTCTGAAATAATGGGGGGAAAATATTTTTAAAAGTCAGGGCATGTGAGTTCTAGTCCCCATTCTGCCACTAACACACTGGGACCTGAGGCAAACTA